CCCCCCCCCCCCCCCTAGAAAAACCTTGCTGGATCCAACCTTGTCTGGAAAATCGGTATCCAGCACATCCATACACTGTATATATCATTAAGTGACAAAATATTTCAAAACAGAAAGACAATACTTTAAGGTAATTCAAATTGTAAACCTTCAAGTTGTATTGTCTATTATTATTATTATAATGAACTCATGACAACAATATACAGCAGATTGTGCTTTGTATACCAGTTAAATAATTTAATATACAACTGTTCTGAACGTTTTTATTTTTAACTTTATATCTGCTTGTTTTATGTCAATATATTTTGACATATACCTGTTATGATAATAAAGTTTTTGATACGAAAAGCTATAGTTGACAGTTGTGTTGGGGAAACCCGAATGCATTCCATTCACCAAAATGAAAACTAACTACAAATTGACCTTTACTAGAATGGTAAATCAGTGCAAAATCCTTCGTTTCAGAGACCAACAGTTTTGTCAAGTGATCCTTGCGATTTCCCCTCAATCTCCGTTCCAGGTAACCTGATACCTCTGTCATACTCAGGGCACTGAGGAATTCTTTAACTGCCAAAATGGACTGAAAAGATACAACTGTCATTTTCTTGCTTTCAACGACATAGCAATTCGGATCGCAGAATAATGGCCTTCGGCAACTTTTGATTGCTCGAACTAAACACCTAAACATTTCCTCTGGTATATCACGCCTTATTTGAGAAAAGAAAGGCCGCCTTATGTTTCGTCTTCCAGCCAAACGCCGGTGGATGGCTTTTAGCCATAAATACGACTCTCCTCTAAAAACCTTCCCAGCATTTATGTTCAATGAAAACAGCATGCGAGGGATGCCAGGCTCGCTTATTTCAGGTTGTGTTAGGACGTTACTGCTTTCGTCGTCGTTTTCGCTTCTTATCTGCTCTTGATTTGTGTCAGTATTGCCTTCTAAAACTTTGTTCAATACTTCTTCCACGCTTAACTTCGCCGCCATTTTGAAATTGTTTCTATGGTCACCAGGTGTCGCAAATGGATAAAAGGGAACATAATAGGGGGAAATACCGCTGCTCGCAAGCACTGACAATTTGGCGATTTTCTCGCCACTTGTGCCCGGCGTGTAACTGTGCTTCAAATCGGTGTAATTTGTGTTTATGGGAGAAATACTTTATTATTTGTAAACCAAAAATGGCCACTTTAAACAAACGAAATGAGTTAGTGTCTGCATGTAGGCATAATAAAAAATTCCTTTTAAGTAACATTTAAAATGCTAGACATTTAAATATACCGCGGTGTGTTAATCTTTCCGCGTCCTGTCAGCTTATCACATAACATGTTAATTAAATCGCGTGGTTTGTAAATAGGATTAAGTTTTACATTTAAATATACCGCGGTGTGTTAATCTTTCCGCGTCCTGTCAGCTTATCACATAACATGTTAATTAAATCGCGTGGTTTGTAAATAGGATTAAGTTTTTTTAAGTCTCATCCACTTGTATACATATATAACCTTGTAAGTTTTAGTCTATAGTCATTAGGTCAATTTATCTGAAGAGTGCCACATTTTGTGGTACGAAACTATTTAGTAATAAAGATGCCTAGTGGATTTTGTTGATTGTTGTACCTTAATTTAAATATGCTCTGGTTTTCCATTGAGCACTTTACCAAAAGTTTTATAACCAACGAAACCAAATCTTATAATCATAAACATAATCGAAAACGCGGTTATATATATATATATATATATATATATATATATATATATATATATATATATATATATATATATATATATATATATATATATATATATATATATATATATATATATAATATTAATGAGACCAAAGATGATCAAATTTACAGTGTAGAAAGAGTGCTCAATACCATTTAATAACGTAGAGCAAATAATTTAATTTGTTAACTTAAAATATAGTCACAACTCTGAGTTTCACGCTCAATGCGATCTTCAGGCGACAATTGTCGCCTGAAGATCGCATTGAGCGTGAAACTCAGAGTTGTGACTATATTTTAAGTTAAGAAATTAAATTATATATATATATATATATATATATATATATATATATATATATATATATATATATATATATATATATATATATATATATATATATATATATACCAAACCAACTTATGTATTAAGAGGCAATTTTTTTCAATGTCACGTATTTGCAATGAAAAGTGTTCAAAACCTAAAATCTTTTTGGTGTTCCTCTCAAAATTACTTTGTTTTAGCTTTATTCTCTAGTTTATACAGTTAGCTACCTTTTTAAATGCATCTGCCGGTTGAGAAACATAAAATAATAGTTAACAATTGTCAATTGGCGCCATGCCGTCAATTTAAAATTGGCGCCATGCATATTTACATGCAGCCATATAAGCAAAACTTACTGATGTTCAGACAGCATTTTCTCTTTGGCGTACCATCTAAAATCCTCTTCATTTTAGAATTATTTTACAGATAAAGCACTAAACATACCTTTAAAGTTTGTTTGCCGATTGAGAAACGTATCGAAAAATCAGTGAAAATTTTGAATTTGGTCATAACGTCAAGTGATATATTATACGCATTAGTTTTGAGCGCGTGTTACGTAACATACAAAAAAATCTCCTCTTAAAAAGAAGACAGGCATGCACTCATGCACTCCATTAATTAGCACTCCAATTCATTGAATTGTAAATAAACTTCTTCCATCGAAACTCTTCCATTGCATATACTAGTTTAGTATTTTTGCACAAGTGAACATAATAAATCCTACACGTTGATTGGTCAAATTTGACGTATTAACCTTTGACCTCGACTTCGTCTCGGCGAATATTCCCCGATAATCACCGAACCTGAGGCGAATAATTGTTAAATATTAAAATCTCGAGTTCTAGTGTATAAAACGAACAACAGAAAGCTTGGGTACGAGATTTGCACGAAATCGGAAATTAAAGCATGGTCAATTCATCCACACCCCCAGGTTCCAGTTTTCTGTCAACATCCCGCCCTCCCCCGTGTCACGATTTGTAGTAAAGTCCCCCTGGGTTTCCCAGCCCCCTGGCGTGGTGGAAACAAATGATAGGTACATTACCGACAACATAGACGAGTAGGGTGCTTGATTTACACAGTACAGTCCAAGGTGTACACAGGTTGCTTGCGACAGTTTTAGGAAAAAGTTGCAGAGTGTAAATTGGCTTTAAGGCGACTATTACTGTAGTAGTAATCAGAACAGTAGTTTCCAACTACTGTAATGTACGACTAATGGTTTATATTTGCATTCTTATATATTAAAGTCCTAAAAATCAAGTAGAAACTAAAACGAGAATTTTATACTTTCTAGTTAATTTGATATCACAATGGGCAATTGTTTCGGTTTTGGGTCTGAAGGTGTGAGTGGAGGATCATGTGCTTCATGCTACCAGTCGTGTTGCTATGGTGGAGACACTCCTGCTGGTGGATGGTTTGCCCTTGGTCAGAGCAGAGGAGCCAAGGGTGATGGAGTCTCAAAAGTGACAGTGTGCTTTGGACTGTTTCTCGGTATTTTGGGTATCTTGCTCATTGCAGGGGGGGTTGTAGTTGGCTACAACCCAGAGAAGCTGGACCCAATACTTTTCTATGTTGAAGATGTCACACAACATGAATTTTTGCCAACTTATCAACTCATGATTGCAATTGGAGTCTTTTTATGCCTATCAGCCACCTGTGCCTGTTGTTGTGGTGTTTTCTTCAACATTGCGGCCTGTTGCTTGCTGATTGCTTTCATCATGGTCATTGTTGTGGTTGGCTGCCTAAGTCACAGTGTCAGCAAATTTGACAGTGAAAGACTAGATTCCGATATCAAGACAAATATGATGGCTAAAATAAACAGCACTGATTTTAAAAGCACGGATTCCATTTTGAATTACATTCAGCAAAAATTGGAATGCTGTGGAGTACAGAACCCGTCGGATTGGCAAAATAATAACAATTTTAACAATGAAACCTTTCCCGACTCTTGCTGTAAAGTTGAAACTCCCAACTGTGGACAGAATTACAGACCAGACGACATATTTCAGGATGGGTGTCAGACCGACATGATGCACAAGATTACGATATATTTTCGTTGGCAGATAAGCTTTCTGGCAATTTTCTGTCTCATTGCAACATTCGTAATCTGCTTCTGTTGCTGCATTGCTTGTGGCTGCTGATGTTGATGTTAAAGATGTTAATGTTAAAGATGTTGATGTTAAATATCTTCTTTGATTGAATTATTGATAATAAATTGTAGTGGTAAAAAGTTTTGTGTTAATTTCCAGCACGGCGTGGTACTTGACTGAAATTGCCGTAATTAAAGCTCAGTTTGTTGCAGTTCAGAACGGGACCTTTCTTATCACCTCGCCCCC